GAAAGAGTTTGTGGAGATGAAACAACGGTTATGAGTTAGGGAGAAATGTAGTAAGATTAGGATGAAAGGGCTGGGGAGAGAGTCTAGTGCCTGCCAAGTGTTGAGTTCATGATCTTTGCAGATCTTGATGCAGGAAACCTGAGGTTGGCCTGGTAACTGTGGGGTTGCCCTGAGCCCTGGCAGGTAAGGGACTTTCCTCAGGTCCTAGAGAAACCAAGAGATCCTTGTCCTTGCATGTCGTCTCCCTGCCACTGACTGGCCTCACGGTTCCCTCTGAAACCACAGAGCACGTTTCATGTTGTCTTCTTTCTTTCCTCATTCTTGGGCACACTAGGATTGGAATTTTGTTGGCACCGACATCTTTGCCGGGACCAAGATAGACCCTGGCGCCTTGGTTCAGAGGCTGGAGCTGGATGAGAGGAGCCTGGCATCCATCCGGAGAGGTGAGGAGGGGGAGGTGGGCTGAGGCACCTCAGTGGTCACTCCCCTGCCTCTGGGTGACCTGTGTGGTTGGTAAGGATTTGATTTCTATGGAAAAAATGTATAGAGGTACTAAACTAGAGAGGATAAAGAAACCCCACACTGCCTTCAACACATCGGATTGATTATGGAGCAGGTACCAGACTTCATAGCATTTTGTTTGTGAAGTCCTTAATATATGTTTCCATCGATGAGTTTCAAGGTCTGGGTACATAAAGAACAGAAAACTCTATATGGGGGCTTAGGAATCACCGTCTGGAAAACAGATTTAGAGATAAGTGTCCAGGGGGACTCAAGGGAAGACAGCAGTTTATAAAGGCTAAAAGCTGTAAATTACTACAAGGCATTTAAAATTGTTTAAAGAGAAGTTTTTGTTGATGTAGGAAAAGAATGTTAGGGTCATAGGACCAACCTAAGATAAAGAAAGAATGTATATGTCTGAAAGACGTAAGTCTGATATCTTGAGCTGTTCCAGATGCCTGGCACCAAAGTTCACATTCCAGACAGCAGAGCAGGCTGTATGTATGTTCTGCTTCCTCAGTGCTGGAAGGGGCTTCACATCTCAGGGGCCTTAAAAGAGTAACCACAGGGGGTACCAGCAGTTAGCGTAATGGCTATGTTGCTGGACTCCCACGTAGTCGACCACGGTTTGCGTCCTGGACCCGGTGGCTTAGAACTCACGCTGGGCGCGTGTGCGTGCGTGCCCAAGATCCTGAGAGGAGAATGGAGGAAAAAGGATAGCGGAGTGACCATCCCCCCTGGGGAGTGATTTCTCGCTTTCTGTCTCTATGTCTCTCTCTGTCTGGCGAGTGCACGCGCCCTATAGTGAAAACTTCTCCAAAAAAAAAAAAGGAAAACAAACAAACAAACAAAAGTAACCACAGGGACCTGCAGGTGGTGTGGTGGGGAAGGTGCTAAACTCCCACATGGCTGACCGCAGTTTGATTCCCGGACCTGACCGTTTGAGAATCACACTGGGCACATGTATGTGTGCACCTAAAATGCTGAGGGGAGGATGGGGGAAAAGGGACTGTGGTATGGCCATCCCGGGGATGATTTCTCACTCTCACTGTCTGTCTCTCTCCAGTGAGTGCATGTTGCGTGGTGGGAACCCTGGGGAAAAAAGTGACCATAAACATACCTGCAACACCACTGTTACCCCAGATAAATGAATGTTGTAATTTCTTAATGTCAAGTGAACACACAGCACTCGTGCTTTCATGGTGGTCTCGTCGCAGTCTAGTTGTAGAAATGGGTGCAAATGAGGTTCATGGTGCTGCACAGCTCTCCCCGTTTCCCTGTGCGTCTCCAGTGTGGAAGCAGGTCAGTGCTCCTGGGGCGTGGCCCGTGGTTTTGGTTTGCTGACTGTTATTCTGGGACCTTCACATGTTCACTGACCCAGCCAACATTCTCAGCCCAAGCTCTATCTTTGAGCTGGGGGCCCTTTCGGGTAGAGCACTGCCTTGGTCTATGGGAGTACCCAGGAGTAGGAGGTGACCTGAGGGGCTCCACTCCCACCTGCCACTTTCTGGGGAGGGACAGATGGTAGATACTAATGATTTCTTTTGCTGCAAGTGCAGTTTAGCACTTAAAACTACCAGCAGCAGGACCAGCAGATGACGTAATGTTACATTGCTGGACTCCCACGTAATCGACTCTGGACCCGGCAGCTTAAAACTCACACTGGACATATCTGTGTGTGTGCCCAAACTCCAGAGAAGAGAATGGTGGAAAGGGATTGTGTTGTGGCTATCCCCCTGGGGGATGATTTCTCACTTTCTGTTTCTTTATCTCTCCGGCAAGTACACACGCCCTATGTCAAAAAATCTCTCTTAAAAGACAAACAAATTTAAAAAACTACCAGTAGTAGCCAGGCCCTGAGGCTCTCCCCTAGACTTCCCAGGGTTGGACTGTTGGCCTTTTTCAGTGCTACTGCTCTGGGCAGAGCCCTGTTGCTAATCACAGAAAATGCCTGACTGTGCAATTTAAGAGCATGGTTTATTTAGCTCACAGTTTTGGAGGTCCAAAGTTAGGGGCTACACCTAATGCAAGTCTTGGAGGGGGGATCCTACGGCTGCATAGGGATCCTGTGGCAGGAGCTGGAGTTGAGCTGTCTCTGCCTCTCTCCCTCTCCTTACAGACCTGAAGCCAAATCATGCCCCAAAGGCCCTGCCTTTTGACACTAATCAGTTGAAGTCTGCACCTAATAATGCCACAGTGCAACCCATTTCAGCATGTGCATTTGTGGGGCACATTCAAGTGTGAGGCCCCTGTGCTATACTCCTGTGTTTATTTCCTTACATTATTTCAATCCTACTATGCACTTTCACCTTTAAAGTTGTAGGTAGCTGTCCTTTTGTCTTCTACTTTTTTTTCTTTTCAGGAGAGACTTGTTTTTGCTATAGGGTGCATGTGCTCACCGAAGAGACAGACAGAGACAGAAGTGGGAAATCAACCCTCTGGGGTGGGGGGGAGGAAGGAGTGGTGGTGGCCATGCTGCAGTCTCTGCTCCTCCATTCTCTTCTCAGGATTTTGGGCATTCATGTACATGTGCCTGGCGTGAGTTTCAGACCTCTGGGTCTGGGACTTACACTGTAGTCAGCCATGTGGGAGTCCAGTACCTTAACCACTATACCACCTGCTGGCCCCTTGTCTTCTACTTTAACACTTTCTTCATGATCTCATGATACTTCATTGAAGCACCTAGATCCTATTCTTAAATCATTTTCTTGTCAAGTAACTAAGCAGCTTCTGAGTCTTCTATAATTTTTCCAGGTTTTCATCTGCAGTTTGTGAACAGCTCTTCAGTGGGGGTTGCAGTTATATCGGTTGCTTTCTGTGGGTCACATGGGCTGTCTTGCTGCTGCAGGTTTTCATGGTCTCACAGTCTCATTGTGGAGTCTTCTCTTTCCTTGTCCTCCCTGCCCCCTCTGGGCATGGGATCCCTCCCACTCACTGGCTGTTTATCAGGATAGTTTCCCAGAGTAGGTTGCAGCTTCTGTTTTGCCTCTGAGTGGCGTCTTGCCCCAGCACCTTCCTGACACAGGATTGCTGCTACCAGGGATCTGGGGGTGGGGGCATGTGGGCAGCAGTGTGGGCCCCACAGGGCAGAGCCACAGGAACCTGGTTTCTCCCTGAGGTTCACAGAGTCTCTCCCTGAGGTGTTTTGGTCACTTTCTTAAACTTGAATGAGTGATCTAATCTTACAGAGTTAGCTCTGTATTACTTCATATAAGTCACTCTCAAGAGTTTTAAAAAGTACTGCAAAGGACGTTCTCTGGTACTGATGGTTCTCCTGGTCCATCTTGTGGTTAGGTTTTTCCAGCAGGTTTCCTTCTAATTCTCTGGGGGAGCCGGTGGGTGGTAACAACACTGTTTCTTTCTTTCTTTCTTTCTTTTTTTTAAGGACTTTTTTCTTTAAATTATTTTATTTAACTTTATTTGTTTATTTTAATTTGACCAGAGAGGGATGGGGTGGCAGGGGGAGGGTGAGAGAGCAAGCCGTCATGTCTGGTACTCGAACCATGGTTGGTCATGTGGGAGTCCAATGTCCCTAACCACCACGCCACCTGCTGGCCCTGTAACAACACTGCTTCTAAAGTCCTCCTTGCCTCCTGTTTTGAAACTTGCTTTATTGTTTAATAAATTAACAGGAAGTTACTTCTGTTTGGGACCCTCTGCACAAGGCCAGCTTTGTGTTCTCTCTGGGTTTATAATGAGTCTTTACGATTTTCTTAATGAGATCTCCATGATTCCTGCCCCTCTTGCATGTTACTTTCTCAGCCTTCCTTCTCTCCTCCCTTCCACACTGTCCTGCCTGTTGGGTACACGTACCTGGGAAGGTACCCCAGGTCTCTGGCCCCACAAGGAGGAGCTGCTTGCCCACCCCTCGCCCCCTCATGTTGGTGTAGGAGGGTATTGGAGGATGCCCTCATAGGCTCCCCCCTACTCATAGGCTCCCCCTTCTCGTTTGTTTCTCACCAGGGTCCTTCCAAGTGGGCATTGCAATTTGAGGCTGAGCAGCTGAAGGAAACGCAGCTCTGAGATTGGCACAGTTCAGGCTCACCCAGCCCCATCAGAGCTCAGTCATTTGGCACTGGGCTCTTGGCCACTTGGTGTCCCCCTGTCTGCTCCTGAGCACATGGTTCTCAGCCTGTGGCCGTGATGGCAGTCTCTCAGTCTGTCAGTCTGTCATTCTGAACTGTTGGCCCAGATCAGGACTCAGCGAGAATGTGGGTTCCTGTTCACAGATGTCCATCCTGTGGCCGAGGTGGCAAATGCCCAGCCAGTCCCAGGGTCTTTCTAGCCTGCCTGGGATAGATCTCCAAGGACCCAGGGGACAGCGAGATAAGCATCTGCTAGTGCCCTAACAGCAGTCAGAGCGCTGCCTTGTCCTGTGTCTGCGCTGAGTGCTCATTCCCCACTGGCTGCTTGCTCTGTAAAACCCAGCTCCCCACGACCAGGTTCCTCTTTGCTGGGTGAGCTGGTGTCTGTGAATGGCCCTGGCTGCTCCAGCTACGAAGGCTGGCACTTGGCAGTGAGAACCACACGTCTTGTCCCCTCAGACAGGGTGAAGCAGCAGGATGGAGCCATGGTTTACTATGAGACTGGGAGTGACAGTGGGGCCTCCCTGGGCATGGCTGCAGGGATAGCTGCCCACTTCTATCACCCCAGGCACCCTTCCCTCCCTGTCGTACCTATCTTGGTTACTGGGTACACTTAGGCTATGGGAACCCCACACACCTGCAGACAACCTCTGGGGACCCTGAGGATCCTGCTTTAGAGCTCCGGGAGGACAGCAGATCTTCTCAGTGCTGTCTAGGCTGGCACGACTGTTCCCTCCTGTCTCTTGCTTGGGGTTCTTATAGCTGCTGCAGTGTGCAGCCTGGCCACCATGTCTGATGCTCAAGGCAGCATGACAGCTCTTTGTAGCCTTGATCTGCACAGTTTCTGAGCTTCCTAG